GACGATGCTCCTGTCGGTGCTCGCGGGTCGGGAGACTTTGCCAATGATCCGGGGGGTGAAGAGGTCGAGATGATTGAGGTTATAGATCCTGTCACGGGTGAAACAACCTTAATTCCCAAAACCGATTCATCGTATTATGACGCCGGAGGTCACAAGGCAAGGAAGTACAAAGGTTCGTCGAAACCACCTGACATTCCTCCTTTCCTGCGGAAAGCCGCTTCCAATGCGGAAGGAAAGAACATTGAAAGGTACGAGCTTGAAGAGGCTCGGAAACGCCTTCTAGCTGAGAGGAGCAAGCATAAAGCGGCCGTGGCAGAGATTGATGGCAAATTGCGACATGATGTAAATGGACGCCGCCTGGGAGGGTGTGCCCATGATGCCGGTTCGCTTCACCTTCCTCACGAAGGAGGACCCATGGACCATCTCAGGAACTGACTACGCTGCGATGGCGGCCACACGCCCTGTGTGCGTGGCGCTGGATCTGCAGATGATGATCCTGAATGGACATCGGCTCATCGAGACCACCGCTGGGACCATTGTATGCCCCGACTGGATTCCGAACAAGTATGTGATCTACGTGTACGACATAGATGCCAAGTGCTATTCGTTTGCCAATCGTGTGTATGCCCATTTGTGGGGAATTCACACAGGGCAAACCAAGGCATTCTTCTCTGCACGCACCGGGGGACCGGCTGCTGATGACGATGAAATGGTGGAGAGTCCATTCGAAAAGTACACTACTCATGTTCTTGGTGACTATGAGAAGTGGTGCGGCAAAGTGGATACTTTTTCACCATTTGTCTACGGCGAGTGTTCCCGGCTCAATGATGTGAAAGACCAAATGATCTCAGGGAAGAACAACCCCGAGCTGAAGGTCTATGTGGTCACATACGTTGCTCGCAAGCCAAACTTCAACGCCTACAAGAACAAAGTGTCGCCTGAAACGATGATGCCCAATTACAATCGCCCTCGATTTGATTGGCGCAAGGTGCATCCAGACACCGAGGGTTTTGGCAACGCCCGTTGGATTGTAGTTGAAGGAATCCAGATGCGTGAAGAGCAGTGCCCAACCTGCACATATATATCATGGCACAATGGCCTGTACCAACTGCGGCACGTTCCTCAACAATGCGTCCGACCTATGCAAAGCGGCCCAGCTCATCCGGATTGAAGAAATGGCGTCAGACCTGGGGGTCGAAGTCACCATGGATATGGTTCCGGGCGACAGGCTGAGGGATCGGGACTGAGGAAGACGCCGGCGGGGACGCCTGGCCATGAAAAGCCAAGAGCGTCAAGGTCTGGCATCAACATCTTGAAAGCGAACGCCAAGAGCCATGTTCAAAAGGCGGAGAAAATGTGCCTGACAGTCTCGCAAAGGCAGCTGGTTGATGCGTTTTACGCGGTCAACTGCGCAGCTCAGGACTTATCGCCCATCTGCATTCAGTTCCTGGAGCGCCTCTCCGATTCGGTCATTCCTGATCCACCTCGGACACGTGAAATGATTGCACAAGGGCTTGGTCACAGGTACTCGGGCAAGATCATCTTCATGAATGAGATTGCCAAGGGCGACGACGCCGATATCAGTGAAGACTTCTTCGTCTATTGGAAGAACCGTCTCCATCGGCCAGAAACCTTTGCTGCTGACTACTGCCAGGGGCCGAAGCGACCAGCCATCCTCGGCTTTGGTGGCGAGTGGCGCAGTGATAAGGATGACCCTGATGATGTGCTTGATGAGCTTCTCGCATTCGTGGCAGAAGATGCTCAATTCATTCCTGGCCTGAACATCAACCTGGTGAAGGAAACCAGGGCGCTCGTGATTCCGAAAGCCAAGGCTGCACCAGGGGCTGGGCAAACTTTGGCTAAAGCGGCTCAGTCTCAGGCCGAGAGCGCAGAGCATCGATGGCGAGGAGCTTCATGGCATGATCCTGCCCAGAATTGGCAGAGTCAATCATCCTCCTCGTGGTGGTCCTCCTCACGAGACTGGTGGCAAGATGACCGTGGTCGTGGCAGCGATCGGCGGGGTCATGACTGGTGGAATCAGCGCAGGTGGTAGGCGCATCGCACGGCGGGAGCCGTTGCCTGTGGAGACAAGCAGAGAAAGACTGAATCCATAGGCGACACTGCTTCCATCGGGCATTGCGTATCCCTCATCGCACCGCGGGAGCGGTTGCCTGGCCGTTTCGGCCGTGCGCCGGGGGACCGGTTGCCTGACACCAACAGTTAATTCGTTTGAGTTTAAGTCGATGTACTTTACTCCAAATCCTTGCATTTGAAGCGCGCATACTTTTGCCGTGCTTTGTCGCCACGCGGGAGCGTGTGCCTTGATGGCTTAGTTCCTGCTTTCTAAGAGGTTGGCATTGCACGTCCAGTTCCATTGCGCCGAAAAGAGTCCATTATTCCATTATTGCACTTTTCATTGAGTTGATTGCGTGCGTCAGTTCCAGACATGTACTACACCAGCAGTGAAACTTAACAGTGCTGTCATTCAAATGCCCTTGAGGTCAACCTTCCTCTCCATCTCGAGGTGCGTTCCGGTTCGTTGCATCGCACGTACCGGGGGACCGGATACCGTCGTAGGTCTCATAATTCATGCACTGTACATATCCTCACTCCTCCCATTTTCGTTCAGCGGGCGGTGTTGTTTCACAGTAGTGTACTAAATACATGTCTAATTACCACTGACTTTGGCTCAAGGGAAACAGGTGCGGTTGGTGGTTAGTGTCGGCCGTTTACCTGTAACTACAAAGCCAGTTTGGCTGTCCCCATACAAGACACCCAATTCATCACCAAGCGCCCCCCTGCTCCAAAAATGTTCACAATGACGCTGGTGGATACCCCCTGAGCTAACTCCACCACGATTGGCTTCATCCCCTCATACTCCCACTCTTCTGCCTGTCTCAAGGCATGAGTCGCACCACCATCCAGAAGTGCGTACCGGGATGCCGCCGTAGTCGTTGGGTCTTCATGCACCAACTGTTTGATTTTCACTGCCTTCATAGCTCGCAGTGTCTTCAGTAAACTTGTGGCCTCATTCAACAAGGCCGTTGCCGGGTCTTTTTCCCCGACAACCTTCTCCGTCTCCACCTCCCCACTCCCAGGTGCCTTCGAAGAACTCAAGCATGTCGTCGATGGCGGCGAAGTAGTTCCCTTTGAGTCAGAGCCAGATTCATCACGGCGCTCCAGCTCCTTGTAACTCACCCCCTCCTTGGGATTGGTAGGTCCTTTCACTTTAGCATTCTTTTTTCCATCTTTTCCACCTCGATCGCGACCACAGGGACAGTCCTTGGCGAAGTGGTTCTCCCCCGAGCAATGGAAGCACCGATCAGCCTTGTTGATGCCCTCCCAGGAGTGCAGGAAGCTGCAAGAGTCACCTCGCTTACAACCGGATGCACTTCCCCAGTACTTGCAGGCTGGTTTGGTTTTTGGCTGACCATCTCCACCTCCATACCCACCTCCCCCCAGCGCCTTTATCGTAGGCGGAGTCCCATTCACAGATTGGCCTGCTCCCCCGGAGTTGTTGGCCTTTGTTGTAGTAGGTGGTGGCATGGTTAGTGCAAGACCTTCAGCTTCCGCTTGAAGGAATTCCGCAAACTCCTGTGTAGAATCCAGTGTGGGCTGTCGATCCACCTGCAATTCTTCTCATTGTACTTCACCTCCACCTCCCGTTGCACTCAATCCCAAAACTCCTTGGACGAAGTGCTGAGGTCTCCCAGCAACAGAGTGATCACCGTCAGCCAGTGTCCAAACAGCAGGGCCGCATTCTCTGCCGATGGTGCTGGTAGTGGGGGTAGTTCAAGATTGCGCGTCGCCTCAGGCAGCGCTGCTGTCACCGATTCCCGGTTTCATCATGTTCGCTGGACCATTCAAACCTTCTCCACGACCTCGAGCATCGTGATCAGGAGCAAGACCAGGAGGAGTGTCAAGTGGTCCTCCATGTTTCGTAGGCTCCCCTGGCTGTTCACGCCGTCCTTCGGCATTGGCGCTCGGCACCGAGGTGAAAGGGTCATCTTCTTGACCTCCCGCGCAAAGGTCTCCTCAGCCTCCTTCAAAATGCGTTCACGAAGACGTTCAACATCTCCCAAGCCCGGACTTGGTGCAGGATGTGGTCCGCGTGCACTTGCAGCTGCTCGGACATGAGGCTCACCTTTCGCGGCCTGCTGAAGCGAAGCGCTCCAGAAGGGATTCACCGTCCCCAAAGGTCCCACCGGTGTGGTAGGATAGGGATCCAGCACGCGAGGATGTAGATCATCACGTCAGCCACAGCCATGTAGGGCGATGCACCCATGCGCTCAGCCTCCATTCCGCTCTGCCGCAAAGGAGTGCCAGCCGCCAGCCCGTGCCCTGGATGAACTCCGAATCCGGTACCGGCTGGAACTCCCTGATCACCGGGCCGAAGAAGAGGATCAAGTAGGGTTGGCTGGGGACTTGGCCTTTGAAGAGCATGTTACAACACTTCAAATGACTGCCGTACTGCCTCCTGCAAATGCCCAAGTCCCATGGCCTGGCCTCTTGGGTCATTCAACAGCTGTCGAACTTCAGGTTGTCCTTGTCCTTGGCCTCCTGAGGATGCCGCCATGGATCGGCCACCGTGGCCGTGCTCACCGCCACCGGCTGCGCCCAGCCGCTTGATCTCCGCCGCTGCCACAGGCGCTGATGAGGGCATCAAGCCTCTTGTCGGCCACACCAACCTCCACCTGCTGCTGCGCTTGGGACTCTTTGCGCTCCCTCGATCTCTGCTGCCCCCGCCTCCGCTGCTCCATGGGGTGCCACTCAGGAATGCCAAGACACTTGCCTTGGGCTCATAACCTAAGGAAGTCAAAGGGCAAAAGTCGGGATCGGCACGTCGTCCCTTATTTCTTGAGCCATCGAGCGAGCACATCTTTGTGCAGGTCAAATGAAACATGCGATCGATGTCGATCAACGTTCAAGCTTCCACAAATGTAAATGACACATGCAGCAGGAAACTCAATTGCCAAATCTTTTGTGCTTTGGGAACTGAGGCAGCTCCTGGACAGAAGGCTGGCCCTGCAGCGAGGGTCTCGTTGTGGCACGTGCTCTTGAATTCAACGTGTTTGTATCGTTGACTCAGGTGAGTGTTGCGCACCTTTCCTAAGGTCGTTGAAGTGCAACGGCCGCCGACATCGGGTGCTTCTTCAGGTGGGCTATTTGATTGTTGAAGTGATCCAACCGCATCTCGACATCAGGTCATTTTCAACTAATGTAGCTAATAACTCGTTCTAGCAGTGCTGCGCAAGCTGTCCTGAAAAAAGTATATAGGATTGCAAAGCTGGATCCAGTTAAATCTGGGTTTGAGTTTCATGTGTTTTCCGTCGCGCGAGTCATTGGCGCCATCCTTCCGTATTCCTACCCAGAAGGCCACGAGGCCCATTAATCAAGGTGTTGAAACAGCGTAGACCTTCTGAGGCAGGACCGTTGGTAGGGCCGGCGCGGGACACGCGTTTGGTCGGCCGTGTTTTCTATATTTATACCTGTCAACGCCGTGATCCTTGGCATGTTGGGCTACATACATTTGGCAGATATTCATTATTTGGCAGACACGTGTTCTTTTCTTTCTTTTCGTGTCTTGCGCAGATGCCAGTTGCTATGAACAATCTATTTGCATGGCTTGAGCAGGTGGATTTGGCAGTGCGGATCTCCTCAGCATGGAGGAACATCAGGCAGGATGCTGTGAGGGTTTGCAGATTGTGGAACTGCAAGTGTGATTGATGTGATTCTAGATTCTAGCGCGTGTTAATTTGCCATTGCGTGGGCTAGTGCAATGGTGGGACCATGCTTTTGGACTTTGCGCACGCACCACCAAGGCGCCGCAAGTCTCGAGTGCTCCGGCCTGGGATCCTTTCGAGTCAGGCGTGGGTGCTTTTTGGTCGAAGAATGGGGGAAAGCGGAGCCAAGATATTAACTCCTATTGGTTCCTTTTCGTCAACTGTGTTCCCCGACTGTGGCACCTCCTTAGGCCCAGTTGGCGCTCATGCCCCGGCCCCTGCCATGATCGCTGCTCCATGGGACGCATTTGGAGGTGCCTGGTTGTTGCGCGGAAATGCGTCTATCTATCTATCCCCAGCTGCCCCGAAGTCAGGCGTATGTGATGGCAAATTGGGCAGTGTAGAGTAGAGTTGTCAGTTTTAAGCTTTAACTATGAACTTTACCTTTCTACACTCTTGCCCTATTCTGTTCCAATTGGTGCTCTTGCCGCGTTAACGCATTCTTAAACATGTTTCAGGTCTGGCAGGCTTGGGTGAACATGTACTGTATTCATTACTGCCATAGGTTTGAACCAACGAATGTTTTGGCTCAAGTGACTTGGCCAAAATAGCGTTTGTTCTCTCTTTTTGAGGGCGGAACCCTTGGAGAGACATTTTCTTTTTTGTGCAGGGAGGGACCCTGTTTTCCCATGAGCGATTTGGGAACCAGCCGTGCTGCCTACACCAGGTACCAGGTGATCCATGCCGCCGCGTGGATGGAGTTCAGCGCTCACCTCCAGGAGCTGGTTGCTGAGGGGCGCGAGCGGGATGCTTTGCGCCTCTGGGCCTCCGTGGTGGAGTTGGTGCATCTGGGGTCTCCGGGGCAACCCCTCTCCATCGCTGGGCTTCCCCCGGTTCGTCGGTTCGTATGCACTAACATCCCGTGTGCAAGGTGCACCGACCGGCGGGGCGGCTTCCAGTTTCCATGGGTTGGCGTTTGGAACCGCCGCTGCTTGCTGGTTCAAGAGGGACTTGGGCCAGCGGTCGCGTGGCAGCGTTACCATGCCTCTGCGGCGCGCTTGGACCGCCTGGCGCTGCAGTGGATCGCATCCGACCTGGGCTCGTTGGACATTTTGCCAGTCCACGTTGGTTTGGCCGTGGAGCGGCTGGACAGCGGGGACGATGGCATCGGGTCCGGATTTGGCAGCAGGGTCGGCGGCCATGGCGGGAACCATGGTCGTCCCTGGTTGGGACCCCAGGCATTCCTCGCAAAGTCGCGAATGCCGGCCGTGCCATCCGAGCGATCTTGGGGTCTGTGGCCTACGACATCGAGTACATCCCCCCCCTCTGCCTCCTTTGTCGCCTCCCCACGTTCGAGTCTTGGCAGTGCCCGCTTTGCATCGACAGTTCTGGCTCAGACTAGTGCGATAGTCCTTGCAGGGCTCATGGCTGACAGTGGACGCTATGCGGCCGAATCGGCGGGGAGCTCCAGGTGGGACCCGGAGACCTCAGCCGAGGTGGCCCAGGCGGCGCGGTGCCTTTGCGTTTCGCTCCGCCGAAGAGGCGCTGTTGGGCGGGGGCCGTGGCTTGGCTGACGCCTGGACCAAAGCTCGTGCTGAGCAGGCTGAAGAGCTGATGCCACTCGCGGCCTCTACAGTTGAAGCTGGCTCCAGTCGTGATCGTCCTACACCTTCTCTTCGGTTGCCCGCACCACCGGTGCCTGTCAGGAAGGGAGTGACCCTTTCGCAGCAGGCATTCAGCGCCGATAGTGTGAACAGACGAGTTGAAGCCCTTGCCAAGGTGTTCGAGGACGCCGGGATCCATCGCCCTTCAGTCGGGAACCTCTCAGACGCAATCCTTGCTGAGTGGAAACTCCAACTTCTGAGATTGGCGCAGGTCAAAGTGACCAAATCGGAACCTCAGACTATAGTGAACGCTGTGCGCACGTGGGGGGAACTTGTCAGCTTCATGCGCTCCAGAGACAGGACTACGATCGAGCACCTGGATTTGGCTTCGTTCCTGGCCTCCGGATCGAAAGGACCCAAGCGTGCATTGAACTCGCTTCGCTGGTTGAACAAACTGGGGCATTTGGGGTGGCAGCTGGATTCGATCGTGTTGGACCCACCTGCCTCCCGAGCAGCAGCGGGATCTCAGGCGCTGGTCGTCGAGCCGCCTATGCTTACCCACTTGGAGCGAGGCATCAAAGAGGCGTTCACTCGGCAGGATCCTTGCTGGACGGCGCTGCTGGGCAGTTGGTTGGTGGGCGTAGGGGTACTACGCTATCGCCACATCCAGAGGGCTCAAATGGTGAGGCTGTCCCGCTCTACGCTATACTGCCATTGCCCCCGAGGCAAGCAAGCCAGCAAACGCGACGGTTTCGATTTCTCCATTCCTTCGCAGTTCACCGATGGGTGGCCCTGGGCGGAGCATGTGGTGGCATTCCGGAACCAGCTGCCCGAGGCTCAGCGCGATGGGGGTGGCCTGTGCTTCAATCGGGAAGGTCGGGCTTGGGACATCTCGGAAGTGCAGGCGGCTTGTCGCGAGCTATTCCAAGATTTGGTTACTGACGTGGCGGACCTGTCCACATACTCGTGGCGCAGGTTAATGCCCACCGTGGCTTTGCTGGCAAAATACACCCCAGTGGAGATGGTGGCATTGGGCGACTGGCAGTCGAAGAGCGAGCTTCCTCAGGAAGCGTCCATGCCAACGCACTACGCTGGCAGTCGGGACCTGGTCAGCATGCGGCTCAAGCATTTGTCGCTGGGTCTGGCCGCCAGGCTGGGCGAGTTTGATGCATGGGAGTTGGCCACTCCCGCCGCCATCACCGCTCCGGTGGATGATGCGAAGCCTGAGGTGCAGCGTGCTGTGAGCCTGGACAAGCATAGCCTGTGGGACAGGCCGATGTCAGCGGCAGCAGCACAGCGTGCCTTTGCATTCTCTCGAGAACGGGCAGCACTCACCAAAGAGGCGCAGGCCAGCGCCAAGCGCTCCTCATCCGTGATGCCTGCTTCCATCAACGGCAAGGTCGTCGCCCGGTTCCTGAGGAACGGCAAGGCTTTGTGCCCGGACTTCCAGAGCGATGCATGCCATGTCGGTGAGAGTGCCTGTGGGGAGGCCCATCTTTGTGCCATCCTCCTGCGAACTGGCCGCGCATGTGGAGGGAAGCACCCTGCCCAATCTTGCTTGGTAAAGCGATATTTGGTGGCCGAGGATATCGAGAACACTCCTTTGGCAAATGTCGCAGTGCCAAGTGCGGCTGTGCAGGCCGACCTCCCGGTAGCAGATGAGCCCGCCGAAGCGCCGCGAGCATCTTCCCCTGAGAGCACTTCCAGTGAGGACGACTCTTCAGCCGGCCCTCGTTCTCCGAGTGCATCCCCGAGTCCGATTCCACCCCCAAGGCCAAGAAGCCTCGTACTGCACCTCCCAAGGAACCAGCAGCCATGACCCCTCCGGTGCAACCTGGCCCCCAAAGCCATGCCACCAGCAGTGGCAGCCACAGTTCCAGCGCCCAAGGCTTCAGAGATCGTTCCACCATGGCGGGCAGCAGCAGCTGATGCCACTGCCGATTCAGGTGACATCTTTGGGATGAGCTCACCCTGGGAGCGGATAGTACACTCTATGCTCAGGCGCCCCTCGACGTGGCGATGCAGTACTACTTCCGGGCCAAGAGAGCTACCTACGCCCTACCACCGGGCTGGCTTGGTTGCAGACCCGCGACTCGGAAGAGAGGGCTGAGTGGACCGCTCGCTTCCGAGAGAGCTCCCACTCGCTGGGCGTTATCATCAAGGAGGTCTACGCAGCACGGGATGCCCATTGGCTTCCTCCCACGCCGGCGGAACCGGCCTTCTCCACCCCAGTGAAGAGTGCACCGCCTGCAGCAACCCCGGCCGCTTCCAAGTTTGCCCTTGGTGAGTCCATCCAAGGCAAGCAGGTGGCGCGGGTCCTTCGCGATGGGACACTACTCTGCCAGGCATTCCAGGAAGGCACTTGCAAGAGCAAAGGGGGAAAGTGCAAGCTGGGCCAACATCGCTGCGGTCATGTCACCAAGAAGGAGCGTGTGTGTGGCGCTCCGAATCATGGGGCAGCAGCTTGCCGTAATACCCCAAAGGCCTGACGGGGCCTTGGAGAGGTCGCGGCAGCCTCTTCAGGGTCCGCTGAGGATCCGCCGCAACCAGGGGAGGGACCCTGATGGCAGACCTGATGTCAGGACCGAATGCACCACTCACCAGAGCTCTCATCTTTTGTGGCTGGCGATGCATCACGACCGACTGGTTGATCAACCCTCAGCACGATCTCGCCAATCCCGACTTCCAGCAGGAACTACACGAGATGTTGAAGCAGGCCGATTGCATCTGTGCCGCATTGGATTGTAGCACCAAGTCCCGAGCCCGAGAGATCCCCCGTCGTTTCGAGGATGGCCGACCCGCTCCGAAGCCCCTTCGATCCGATGATCATCCAACAGGTCTCCCAAACCTCCGAGGACGTGACCTTCGGCGAGTGACCAGAGACAACCAGGCCTGTGACTTCGTCCTCCAGGAGATCCAAAACTGTCCGATCGAGGTGGAGCATCACTTCGTGAGAATCCAGCGAGGAGCCTTCGCTGGGAGCTTTTCTGGGAGAAGCAGATGTTGGGTTCCGGTGACTGGCACGATACCTGCTATGCAGCCTGCTGCTTCATGGGCGCACGGTGCAAACAGCAGCGACTCCGGCACAACATCCAGGAGATCTCCCAGTGGCCGCCACTCCAATGTCACCATCAGCACGATCCAGATGAGTGGAAGCCGTACACGTTGGACGGGCAGCGGGTTTTCCCCAGTCATGAGGAGGCTGAGTACACGGCCCCACTCGCCTTCGCTATTGCGGTTTCTACCAGTTGGTGGGCGGTGCGCACCGGTCGAGCTAAGTTACGTGTCCTCGTATGCCACCGACTGAGGCCGTGGGCCGACGCGAACACTGGCTATACTACGATCCTCGAGCAATGCGCAGCTGGGCTGTGACCCCCTTGGCGATTCAGCTGGGCCTCCGACCCGTCGATCCTCGCGAACGTGCACGGGTCCCCCGAGTGAGACGGGTAGCTGACCTCCTGGTAGACGGGAAACTTCCTCCCAAGTGCATCTACGTGGGGCGAGGCCACCACAGCCACAAGCTTCCCTGGTCAAAGTGGTGCTCTCCGTATACCCCAGGACACGATTGCACCGCCGACAAATGGCTCCCTTGCTACGTGGAGTTCATCATGTCGTCCAAAGCCGCGGCACTCCCAGAGCTGGCAGGTTGTACCCTAGCACTGCAGGACAGTGACATTTGCGAGGCGGATGCACTGGCGGGCCTGGTCTTTGATGCAACCGCACCTGAAGCACCAGTGACCGCTTTCAGACCACTTTTTAAGTACCCCAGGAGGGGAGTGGTTTCCGGAGTGACCGGAAGGATATCACAAAGGTCTGATTGTGTCAGGCCTGCTGATGCAGGTAACCCAACGCAATTATCCTGCTGGAGATGGCAGGTTGAAGACAACACTGGAAAGACGATCTGAGGAAAAAGAGGGAGTGTGCTCTACCGTAGCTAAGAGAGTCAACCTTGGACAGAAATGAATTTGAATCAGATTTGTCATAAAGGTGGTAAAAACTACCTGAGTCTTCCAAGCTATTTGCTAGGGTTCTCCCACATGACCTGGTTGAAACAACTTTGAACGCTTTGTTAATACCTTTCGTTTTGAGTGGGACCTGGGATAAGATTCGCACCTGGTTGACACCCAAAAAGTTTTCCGGCTGGGAGTGGCGCAAACCCATAGTAGTTTGGTGTCAGTGCGGTTACTGCCAAAGGTTCGGTCGAGCTGATTCTCGATTTTTTAGAGTTTCTATATACTGATGCCTTCCGCTGTTCAGAGAAAACTGGAGAAGGGCTGTCGGCTATTGGCACATCAGCCGGGACAAGTTTTCACCCTTCGGTTCTTCTCCGAATGCAGTTTCCTACCCAGTGAGCCCGGCTGATCCAGCAACAGGTGCCAGACCTGGGGCGATAATCGATAACCCTCTAGCTCAGATGACTCTTTCTTTTCTTGCTGCTCCATTGCAATGTGCGATATCCTGGCATTCTAGTTGCTGCACCGCTTCATGTCCTGGCATTCTATTGATCAAATGATGTTGTAGATATGACTTTGTTTCTCCAACTTATTAAATCCATCAGCACCATTTGTTCCTATATTAGTTCTGCATGACTCGGATCCACCTTCCTTACTGCGCTTGTTTAGAGTAGCGCGTTGGAGCCTTTAGTTAGAGTAGAAGAGGCGGCTAAAGTCAAGTGGGCTAGGGGCTAGCCGCTAGAGTGCCCCAGTCTTGTGTTTTACCTAATTATTTCTCGTCTTCATATTCTACAGCGTGGTTGGCCTTCACAGCCAACGCAGCAGACAGAATGGCGTAGCATGTCTCAGAGCAGCCCAAATGAAGCACGGTATTGATTCGCAAGTTGAGGACATAGGACCGACAAGCGTTGCATTGCTATTCTCAAGGTTCCAGGACTCAGTGTATGGAAACGCTGTTTGGAACCCCCTTGACTTTTTCCCAAGTCTTAGAGCTTGCCTGCTTCCTTTCTCTTGGGCTTAGCTTGGCTGAGGTTTCAGCACTTCCCCCCTCGGGTTCATATATAGGTGCCTGCAGCATCCTGTGACCACGCTGGATCTGGACATCAATTATTGAGTTGTGGTTTCTCTGCAACAAATTGTTTGCCGCATTTCCTTGGAGCGGTCGGCGAATCTTGATCAGCCATCTAGGTGCACATCAAAATTGTGGTGGCAAATCATTTGGCAGAGGCTTTCAAGAGGGCTTCTTCGCTTCTAGTAACAAGTGCCTTACTAGTAGTGCCTTGCTGGAATGATTAGTTGAAAGTTGGCGGTTTGGAGTTTCTCAACGGCTTCCTGACAACTGGGGCTTGGACGACATCAGTTGCTTGCCGAGCACATATGTCCCGGATAGCCACGCCGCGCACCATTTAACTCGGAAGAAGCGGATTGTCTCAGGAGGAGGATCTTTGGTTTCCAATCTTCAGATAGCAGGTTTGCGAAGGGTGGGCACCGTATGGGCAGGGTCATCGGCCTGCTCTTTGCGGAGACTTTTGAGTCTCTGAGCAAAGCCCGTGCCTTGATAGACAGTTGCTGGCAACCTTCATCGATTTTTTAGCTCGGCTGAATCCAACACGACTCGAAAGCAGGAACTTCCGGCTCCATCTCTGCTCATCATCCTGGACTTCTCTTCATCTCAAGCTTCTTTCTTGCATTGACCGTTGGAACTTTGCAAGAAAAACGAGAGCCAACATTTTTCAAGTCCATCATTAGACCACGCGATCCAAACCGATGGCTCAATTTCACACACCGTGAGGAAGTCAACAAAGCCAACCCAAGTCAATGATCACTTCTCCAGACCTTGAAAGAGGCAGTGGCACCTAGAAAACGATTTCCTCTTCCAATCATTGATTGGCACGGATTAGTCCTGAGTGCATTCTGCAGTCCAAGCAATTCGATCATACAAGGGTTGCTGACACACACACACACAGATACAGATCCCTACACTTTTCGCAGCGTGTGCGTTGACAACATACTTAAGAAGTCTCCCAGCTCATAGTTCGGTGTTTCAGGTCAACAAGCTGAAGGTGCTTGGGATGCTTTTCAAAGCAGCAGGAATCTGAGCAGTCTCGTTCACTGAAAGTCCCAGGTTTCCCGCAGGAAACTTTTGTGGGTGGTGGAGGGTTTTGCACCAAATCCGGCAAGATGGTAGGAATACGGAATAGCATTTCTTCAGCGCGGAATTCCGTTTCCAAACCGGGACTGCCTGAGGTTCGACACCTAGCACCGGCAGCAACGCCCAGGCACCTTTCAATCCGAATGAAGGCTGGAGGGTGCCTGTGTGGTTCCCGGGATCAGTTCAAAAGAATGTGGCATGTTAGCGCAAATATATTTATGAATGACAACTTTAAGTCTGTACCCTGTGCACCTTCGGCATAGTCAGGTTGTAGCAGTCGAAGCGGCTGCATGAGTGGCATGCATATGGGTACAGGAGCACCCATGAGCGGTATCGGGTGTATGGGTGGCTGCGGCATGGGGACCATGACCGGTGGGTGCCTGGGAGGGCTGGGCAACATTGGGATGGGTGGCATGTGCAACCAGCCCATGGGCCAGCAGCCGATGGGCTACGGCATGGGTTGCATGGGCTGCATGGGTGGCGCAGGTTGCATGCAAGGCTCAGGCTGTGTGGCTGGACCGGCTGGGCGGGGCATGGCTGCTGGCAACCCAAGCATGCCAAACATGCACCGAGCTGAGTGTGTCATACCTTGTCTCCAGAACTTGATTGTACTCTCTTTGCAGGCGCTTTCTCTATTGATAACTCATGATAATTCAATGCATGGCACTAGCAGGGACTGGAGCCGGTTTGCCTATCCAGTGCAACGAAGCTATGGCATTTCGGTGGATGAGTGGTCTGATCAACCGCTTGCACACCTGACCACGTGACCACTTTCTGCATTTGTTCAGGGGTTGCGCGCTCCACTCCTTGTGCCCTTCTGACGACACCATTTGGATTGAAACCAAGGATGCCGTGTTTCTATTGTGCTGCAATTACATGTCAGCAATATTGCTATAGTTCAGACAAGGGATCTCCCTCTGTCAATTTGTGAGGGTTTTTGATTTGCTGGAGTATCCAGTGCCAGAGTATAGAGTTCGCAGTGAGGCCTGGTGGCAGCCTCCGAGGCCTGGACCATTGCAAAGGTCAAGGTCCATTTTTGTCACACATGAAGCGATGCAAAGAGATGGGCATAGTAAGCCTACCATGAGCAAGGTCTGGCGGGTTGAGTCTCATGAGAGGAAAGAGGAACTGCCGCAGGCAATTCTGTTTCTCCTGAGATTGATTCTCAACCCTTGCTCAGGGCCTGCAGGGACTTCAGGGCCTTTGGCTCCTCTGACGGCACCTGGTTCTCAGGCGTTTTTGGTGAAGAATCTTGATAGTGCAGTCGTGCTCCGTCATGTTTTAGCGCTTCAGGCAGATGATTTGATGTCCAAGACCATGGCCGGAGTCGCGGCCTGATGAAAAATTCAGTTTTCACTGTATGGAAACGTGTTGGTTGGACCGCCTGGGCAGGAACTATATGAGGGGAAGATGTTGCCCCTGCTAAGCCTGCAGGGCCATCACACCCTAACTAATTTCATAGTGAAACGTAGGCAGAATGCTGAATTGATTGTTTTTTAAATGCCATCATGTAAGTGCACCGGCTTGTCAACTTTGTGTGCAGTGTGCTCTTGCAATGCCATGGGCATGTTGCCCTCCATGCTATCCTTCCAGCCATCCATCCAGAAGGGAGCATTTGGCATGCTGCCCAGAAAGAAAAACCCAGAAGAAATTACATAGAATGCCCTTTTCAATATGATACTGGCAGTCCAACACCCTCAAGTCTCACCCAACCCGCTTTTCATTTCAGCCACCTTGCTTGATGGCTCTCGGTCTAATTTTAGCGGTGTTTGTGATGGTCCTGACGTTTCCAGCATTTCATTTATTCAACCTTCTCTTGATGGCTTTTATCCATGAAGCAGTCCTTCATCCTTCTGGTCGCATCCACATGTTTCTGCACACGTACGCGTGCCCCGTGACTTGTGAGCTGTCAGGGCTGTCAAGCTGGAAGCACGGGCAGCATGTCCAACAGCTCAACAGATGTACTTGTATTGCTGGCATTTGTGCTCCTTGCATTCAGCCCGTGAGACGACGAGGTTGCGAACTTGTCTGCAGAGCAGCGACAGGTCAGCTGACGCATTTTATGTTTTGCGTGACATGGGGATGTTGTTTAGTTACTTCTTGTGGCACTTGCGTTCCAGATTGCCAAAAAGCCCACTGCAAATGGCTAAGCAATGACTAGCTGCGGCTAGCCCAGTTGGGTCAGCAAATCTTTGTGTATGCCTCTAGCGATCCATCACTTGCCTCCAGGCGCAGGGCCCAAGCCAGCTGGGAACTGAATTCACACTGGCGAGATACGGTTTTGCATTCGGTTCCCGTGAGCTAAGGAATCGTGGCATGCCTATGGGCATGATGTAGTGAGAGAGCCAGTTAGAAGTGGGGGTTTGCTTTTCATACTATATACCCGGACATGGGGATCACACCACACAATTCCAGCACACTACTGGATCACTTACTTGCATACCGTTGTGCCATGCAGGTTTGCTACAAGTAGTATGTCAAAGAAAATGGTGAACGGTTTGAATGTTACAATTTCGTCTTCATCGTAGTGGCATTCCAAGGTTCAGTGACAGATTCACATTGACAGTTTTTTTTTGAGGCTTACCCGCGAAGCAAAGAAAGGCAGCTATAAATTTGTTCAAATTTCCTGTGTGGAATATCAGAAATTACAAGGCACTGACCTCTCTGTAGCTGAAGTTGGTGGCATGCCATTCCATCCACGTCGCTTTTCCGCTGACCTGATCGAAAATTTGCTGCGTGGGGGCATTGGTGGGTTTTGATCATTCAATCCTGCTTCATAACAGGTATTTTTGCCACCTTGTCAGGTTTCTAGACACGCGCACCCGCTTAATGACGAAACTGGCGCGCGCTGTTGCTGTGAAATACTCCATTTCGATGTAGTGTAAATCCAACACAGTGCAACTGCAATGCCAGCCGGATCTTTTGCAAATCATGCCTCAGAATAGTAGCATAGAATTGGATTTGGAACCGTCCAAGCAATTTATGTCTTAATGGTCACATGTGATCAAACACATTCCGCGGCCTTGAATTCAGGTGTGTTCAACATGGAGACAATGTAATTTGTCATATATATATATTTACGTATACCTATTTTATTTTGCAATGCTTTCCAGCTTGGGACGTAACAGGGCCGGCCACGGTTTCTATGTCTTTTCAACAAAGGCTCAAAGGCCGCTGTTACCAACGATTTCTGATTGTGCATGCCAAAAAACACGTAGGGAAAAACACCTCTTCGTTTATTATGGCTGCTCATTTAAGACACCATCAAAGAGGACCAACAACAACCTTCAAAAACCATACTGTATCCGGCTTCTTGGAGAGGAAAGCGCAACCAGGAAAACCTTGGGCGGATTTTGGTCTATCTCTGGCTCAGCCAGACGTCTGATACGAAGCAGTCGTCGCAGGAGACCATATGCTAGCAGTACTATTTTTGTATGACAATTAGTAGCTCCTGCCATCGCTACCAGTAGCCAGGGCATTACTACTAGGAGCAAGCAGCTACTAGGAACAAAGGGCATCGCTACTAGGAGCAAGGACGCTACTAGAGGCTCCTGGCCTTACTACTAGGAACAAGAGGCTACTAGGCAGAGCAGTTCGATTTGCTGCTTCCCATTCTGGTTGATTGGTTTGCCTTTTCCTTCTCGATTTGTTGGTTCTATATATATATATATCCAGTAGTTGTTATAGTGCTTTCGTGCAGGGTAAGGGATCAAAAAATATAAAAAATAGAATCAAACAATATTCAACGGGGATCAACAAAAATAAAAAGGTAATCAACAAAAATATTCTAGCCCACTGAGGATGGTTGGGCTAGTAGTAGTAGTAGTAGTAGTAGCAGTAGCAGTAGCAGTAGCAGTAGCAGGATTAGGAGACCAAGGGACCAGGATGGAAGGAGTAGGTGACTAGGAGAGTGTATTTTTTTAGGAGCTCCTTCCTAGTAGGGAGCTATTTCTACTAGTGAACCATTTTTTGAGTAGGGCTACTCAATGACTGGACGGCTACCATCATTGGGTACCTACTTTCCTCCCAGGGAGCTGCCTCTAGTAGAAAGCAATCAAGCCTCTATTTGCGCAAGCAGGGGACCAGGAGACCGAAAGACGAGCGGAGTAGGAGAGCAAGAGACCACTAAGGGAAAGGACCAAGGGACCAGGGGGCCAAAGGACCAGTGGACCAGAGGACCAAGGGACCTTATTACCAGAGGACCCGCAGACCACAGGGCCAGGAGAGCAGCAGAAGAGGCCTATCAAGGAATATTTTGTTTGATTCGCTTTTTGTTTATTTTGATCATCATTACCAGGAGAGCAGCAGAAGAGGCCTATCAAGGAATATTTTTTGATTCGCTTTTTATTTTTTTGATCATCTTTTTATTTTTTGATGCTTGTTCTATTTTTTGATACCTATGCCTTTCGTGCAACATTGATTTGCCGTCTCTGATTTAGTTCTTCCTGTTTACCAGCCCCAAGTTTCTGTCTTTCTGAGGTAGTTCCTTTGCCCTGTTTCATTAGCAGAAACATTTTAATTATGATAGTAGTCAGTTTGGCTTCTTGTTCAGCTCTTCCCGTGTTGAATTGGTCACGAAAGCGAGCTTAGAAGGAGCTCAGCGGAAGTTGTTGTTTACGAAATATAGTGAGGCTCAAAATTGAAAGGTTTAGTGAACTAATTGATTCTTTCAATTACAGGGAGGGGTCAGCCGAGGGCCCCCCCCCCCCCCGTAAAGTGAATAGAAAGAGGCTATTCGACTCCCCCCTCGTCCTTGTGAGAAAGCATACCAAATGCATAGAAAAGACAATATGAAAGTCGAGTTTTTTTTTTTGGTGGTGTTCGGTTGACTCAGCCAACAACACTTTGCGCTCGTGGCACAAAATCGTTGCGTTGCTGCCCTCCCTCCGCGTCCCCTTGATCCTTCCACACCCCTCGCTTTCGTCCCCACTGTCCTCAAGTGTTCGTTATGTTCGTTATCTCTTATTTAAATCTTCCTTGAATCCTTGCCTTGTCTTCTTGGAGTTCTTCCCATCCATGAGAGCTGTGCTTTTCTGCGGTAGAGGGCTTCTGTGCAGCTCTTGCTAACTCTTATTTTGCAACTCTTCTTGTTGAACAGCTCAGGAGCTAAATGAGAAGAAGAACGGACACGACCATTGGTGATAGGCAGAGCTAGCAAAAAATAAGGTTATTGAGTACGGACAGCAGAGCTAGCAAAAATAAGGTTATTGAGTACGGACAGCCCAAAGAGGAAGCACTAATCAAGACTGAGAAGAGCCATGTAAAGAGGGGTGCTGATCAACGATGGAAGGGCTGTGCTTAAAAGAAGCATACTCAATAAAAGGGAGATGCAACTGATACGATTCAGATGGGCGGAGGCAGAGCAATTACAATTACAAGAGAGGAGAAGGACATATGAAGACATCAAATAGTAACAGGCAGCGACAGGACATACCAAACACAGGACAGAAGGGAAACAGTTACTCCGGAGAGAAAACCTCTCTCTCTCTATGTATATATATATATTTCTATATTAAATGTGAAAACACCGGTAGCCGGCCGTCCGATCGGCTCGAAACGCATGGGTGCGCCCAAAATGGCGATCCCCGGCGTACGAACGATGTGCGGCCCTGAGGGATGGTGGTTGGCGTGCATTGAAGCTTTTCATCGTAGCTATTTTCTTTATAAAAGACAAGACGATGGAGGTGCAAGCTCATGAGATGATATCTTCAATCTGCACTTAAAGGTGCGATGCACATCTGTCCACGGAAGGACGGGGGCATCCCAAGCAAGATCCTGAGCGATGTCTCGCTCAGCTTGAAAGCAGAACAAAAAGCTTGCCAGGTTATGGAACAATCCTGTCGAGGACCGGTGGCGAGCCTTCGCCCACCTCACATCGGACTTGGCCCTTTCGTCTTCAGCCAAAGCTAGCTCTGCATAAGACATTCGGGCAGCTTTGTACTGTCCGAATTGGATGACCGAACGTCCCCATTGCTCAATCGATGAGACATCTTCGGGAATGCCTGGTAGCCCTGCCAGGTGGTCATGCTTTGGCATCGGTCGTGCGATGTGTGCAGCGCTGGCGTAAGACAGTCCTGGTGCGGCACTTGGGGCAGCCATGGATTTCGGAAAGCCAGAAAGGCCTCCTCCGCGTTCACGACGCTTGGAGTCTGGATTGCGACTCATCCTTACGGCGCTTGGCAGCATCGGCCATGGCCATCATCAGTTTGTCCAGCTGACAACCCTGGGGCATCGATCGCCAAGGAAGGCGGTACGGCTTCTGCTGACGCCTTGGCCAACAAGCGCTGGAGCTGAACATGTTCCTCTGGGGTCAATGGCGTGTTGGTGGACCGGGGTTTAAGAAAAACGGATCACACAGGCGCGATCACTCTTGAGCATTTCATGGTCGCATGCGCAAATCACTTTTCAACTGTCAAGTTCAAGACGAAAAACGAAGGCACACTGAAATTACCACACATTTGTTACAGAGCATATATGTGCAAGCAAAAATGATGCTCGACTTGAAATGAACTGCAACCAAACAGTCTCCCGTGACTGAACCTTTCATTGACAACAATCACTTCAAGAGGAAATCAATTAGCAGGACCGCTACACTTCAAGCTCTTACGACGCTCTCTTTCCCCAGCTTGTTGCTTTAGCGCACTGTCCTCGGGGGCAATCTGGTATGCCCCCTGGCGAACACATGACCTGAGGAGGTTGGCTGGTTCCTGACGATCCTTGGTGAGGCCAGCTGACATCCAACCTGTTGGCAACCATCGGATAGAACCACTTGTCGACTTAAGAGGTTTTTGAGGATTTGTTTCTGCTAGTTCGCCTGTCTTCAATGTATAAGATGATCACATAGACTTTTGCAATCCGTTGCCATGGGAGAGCGCTCTAAGAACAGGGGGTCTCTTTTGCAGAAGTTCTCTAGCATTTCTGGCTTCAAATGGACCATCCAAGGTTCTTGACAAAAGCAAGGAGAGCCATTCGGCACTTCCACTGGCTGTGGACATAGCTTGGCTTTCTCCGCCCAGAGTTGAACTCACAGCGCGAGGAAGACGGTAACTCTTCCAAGTCACGGCTATCCACGGCAAAACTTTGCCTTATGAACAAAGGCTAGAATATACACTGCTTGTGTGTGGCATCCGACATTGGCGAAGGCTGCGTCCGATGACAACATATGGTGATGGAGTCGGGGTCTATTGAACGGAAACGGATGCTGATGTCTTTGAACTGCTTTGCTCGCCTAACTGCTTCTTTGGATTTTCGTAGATGTTGAATTGTTGGATTCCGAAGTCCCTGTTGACAAAAGCTTGCCTGACATGCTAGATGTGGACGGCTCTGAGAGGATATCCATTTGAGGCTGCCGTTGATGGCCCAGAACTCAAGTCT